ATGACTTGACGCAACAACTTTATATAAGTTCGGTATAATCGTCCTAAACTATTATATATAAAATCAGTTCTGTCTGATTGGTTCGTTAAAGTAGGTTGAGTATATCCAGAGTTGACTATAGATTACCGGGTTTGGTTTAAAACAGGTTTTTGAGATTTTGTCATAATTTTTAAAATACATGCGATTTGTCAAATCTATTAGTTAATATTAATTTTATCATTATCTAAATACTGTTAAAAAAAGTGAGAGCAAACTTCAGATGATACTATATGTGTGTATATATATGCGAAATAAATATCAATGAAACAATTTCAGTACGATAAAAACTCAAAGACGTTTCCAACTATGAAATCGTAAAGTTAAAATTATTATATACATAAAAAAAGAATTATTTTAAAATTTTTTCCAAATAAATTATTGATATGATATTTTAAATCAGATTGATAGAACGATGAACAGGCTACCAGAAGCTAAACACTCGTTTTATTGAATTCTATAACTGAATCGATCATCTCTCCTCTGTCTTTTTTGAATATATTTCTACAAAGTTATTATTCTTAATGTAATTGATAAATATGTTATAGTTTATATCAATAAGGATGTCAGCATAAACTTGATGCTTTACTTTCTTGTAGATTTTATGTCTAACTTTGTTCTTTCTTCCTATGTACTTGTTAACTCAGATAAACTTATCTCGTTTCATAATTTTTGCAATGAAGGCGTCAATTATAATTCCAGAGTTCTTCATGTCTAAAATTCTGGTCGCTAAACGTATGCCTTTCCAATTATAATGTTGAGTTACAACTTTTGATGTAACAAAGTCTGTTCTAGCATTTGAAAGACTCGTTACCTCCCAGCCACTTAACAAGCAGGTTACTTGAATATTTCGATGTTCAACAAGGTGATCAAGTGAATGTCTATATCGTAAATATCTTCAACATACATATCAAAATGATCACTATAAATGTACCGTAATGCTTTAGCTTCTCTTTTTACTAAATTTTCATCGATCAAATCAGTAACTAAAATATAAATAATATCAAAACTATCAGCGAAATCAAAGCTGTCAATATAAAGAATGTTAACCACACGTTTAACTTTCATTACCATAGTCATCTCCTGATCGTCCATAAGGTAAATGATATGTAGCAGCTAACATAAACTCGTATTTTAACTGAC